TATATAATTTAGAACTACCTTGTTAATTATGTTTTCTACTTCTATATATTAATTGCTAGTTTGTCAACAGACAGAAAATAGTTATTATGTCCTACTTATTTAAAAAAATCTCTACAAAAGAGTTGAATATAGTTAAGTTTCTATTTCCTGTTGCTCTATCTTACTTGGCCACGGGTCTGAAAGAGACCAGCATTCCAGGTGCTGAACACCCAATTTAATAGTTTTTCACAACAATTATGGACTATCTAGTATTGTAAGGATATATAATAGTTGGTAAAAGTTTTCAAGTGGGAAGTGTGTTTGCAGGTCTTTAACAAGGCCTGAGGCCTTGGGCAGGAGCTTCACAGAGATGTTTGCATTTCAAAGATAATTTACTCATTGGGCTCCATGGTAACAGCTGGCAGGGGGAGGGAAGAAAGGGGAGAAGAAACTCTCCCTTTCTCAGGTACTGTCTTTGAAGGGTTAATTTGCCCAGAACACTGAGAGAAAAAGCTGTTTTTATGTGAACTTCTGCAGATTGTGCACTTCTGAGCCCCTCCTCCTACACACTGGGTATAAAGTTCTGAAACTTCCTGAACTTGGGGTTCAGGGGGATTGATTGATTACAGCAAAATCTTTTTCTTCTGAACCTGGCTGCAGCCAAATAAATCTGCTTTCTGCTAATTCTGTGGTATCTGACCTGGTCTGTTCCTACAACACTGTAATACCTATGAAGCTACCTTTACTGATGGTCTTTATTTTTTCATATGGCTTTAAGTTACTGTCTAGTGTATTTTCAATTCAACCGAAGAATTCTCATTACAATTTCATATAGGGAAAGTGTACTAGTGACAACTTTTTAAAATCTTGGAATGTCTTAATTTCTTCATTTTTGAACCATGTTTTTCCTGGTTGTAGAATTCTTGGTTGACAGACTTTTGTTTTTTTTTTTCTTTCCCCCAATATGTTAGGGTGTCATCCCATGGCTTTCCTCCGTCTTCAGTAAAAAGAATCCACCTGATAATTTGTATGTCAAGGTCACTTCTCTCTTGGCTTCTTTCAAGATTCTTTGTCATGGATTTTAATTATTTTACTACAATAGCTTGTGCTGTGCATCTCCTTCAGTTTCTTGCACTTGGAGCTCATTAACTTTCTTGGGTGTATAGATTCATATGTTTTATTAAATTTGGGAAAATTTCAGGTACTTCCTTCAAATATTCTTCTATCCTCTGTCTCCCTTCTCTCCTCTGTTCCTCTCATAGAACATAATATGTTGGCAAGGTTTATGTCGTCTTTCAGTTTCCTTCAGCACTGTTCACTTTTCAATTTTTTTTTCTCTTTACATTGCAGAGTGGATAATTTCAAATGACACACCTTTACATTCACTGATTCTTTCTTCTGAATGTTTAAATCAGCTGTTGAACTCTTCTACTGAATTTTTCATTTTATACTTGTTAGATTTTCTTATCCTGAATTTATCTTTTATATGTCATTTCTCTCCTTTTTTTCCACTGGGGATTGAACCCAGGGGCACTTAACCACAGAGCCACATCCCCAGCCTTTTTAAAATATTTTATTTAGAGACAGGGCCTCCTAAGTTGCTGAGACTGGCTTTAAACTTGTGATCCTCCTGCCTCAGCCTCCCGAGTTGCTGGTATGACAGGCATTCACAACTACGGTTGGCTAAGAATTTCTCATATTTTAATAGAACATCTATACCTGTATTGAGATTCTCTGTTTGGGGAGACATTATTCTCCTGGTTTCTTTAACTCTTTGAGTTTATTTAAGACATTTTACTTAATACATCTGTTAAGTACAATATCTGAGCCTCCTTTTGGACAGTTTCTGTTTTTCTTTTTCACTGTGAATAGTTCATCCTTTCTTATTTCATTTCATGACTTGCAATTTTTTAGTAAGAAATGGACCTTTTTTAACATTGTTATATAGTAACTCTGGAAATCCTGAAGGACACTAGACAGTAGCATGAAGCCATATGGAGAAATAAAAACATAGTACCCATGGAGCTACTTTTGCTGGGGTTCTCCTCCCCTGACGTGGGCTTATTGCTGTTGGTGTGTTGTGAGGGTTCTAGTTGTTTAGTGGCTTCTCTAAACTCCTTGTAAATACTGTAGTCATCGTCATGAGTGATCACAAAAGTGGACTCGGAGGGGTAATGACTTAACAGAGATGGCCTTAAATTCCTGAAGCCAGAAACAATTTTCCCCATCTTGAAGACAGACACTGAGGGTAGCGGAACATGCTTCCAACCCTCTCCCAGGAACTCGCCAATCCTCACCTCACCTTTACCTCCTGCTTGCACAGAACTTGAAGGCCATCCAGAGGTGAAAGCTCAGTGCCTTCTTAGGTTTGATTTTTTTTTTCCTGAGCATGCAGTGAGCTCTGGGAAAGCACACCCCTTCTAAGTTCTAATATGTGGAAACTTTTCACAGTATTCAATTTTCATGTATTTCCTTCCTGCAGACCTTCCTCACAGGATTTGTTTATTTATTTATTTATTATTTATGACAGCAGAATGCATTACAATTCTTATTACATATATAGAGCAAAAATTTTCATATCTCTGGTTGTATACATAGTATATTCACACCAATTCATGTCTTTTTACCTGTACTTCTAATAATGATCATCACATTCCACCATCATTAATTACCTCATGCCCCCTCCCTTCCCATTCCACCCCTCTGCCCAATCTAGAGTTCATCTATTCCTCCCATGCTCCTTCTCCCTAATTCCACTATGAATCAGTATATATATATCATTCAGCATTTGTTTTTTGGGATTGACTAACTTCACTTAGCATTATCTTCTCCAATTCCATCCATTTACCTGCAAATGCCATGATTTTATTCTCTTTTATTGCTGAGTAATATTCCATTGTGTATATATGCCACATTTTTAAATCCATTCATCTACTGAAGGCCATTTAGGTTGGTTCCACAGTTTAGCTATTGTGAATTGTACTGCTATAAACATTGATGTGGCTGTGTCCCTGCAGTATGCTGTTTTTAAGTCCTTTGGGTATAGATGGAGGAGAGGGATAGCTGGGTCAAATGGTGGTTCCATCCTCACAGGATTTTTGGTCTGTTTATTATTTGCCCCAGTTGATTTTTTTCTCTAGGTGACGGCAAGCAGTCACTTCATTCATTTTTAAATGTTTTCAACAAGTGCCTTTGGTATGCTGCTTTTCCTAATGGGGAGAGTTCCTAGATAAGTGAAATAAAGGCCAACCCCTTCTGTTAGTCCTTCAGAGAACATTCCAACAGGTCTAAATTTTTACCAAAAGCTCTGTCCTTGTCCTCATGCCAATCCAATAATGAGGACACGGTATTGAGAAAAAAGGAAGGTTTTTTTGCTTTGCTAGCAAAGAAGAAACACAGGGGACTCCTGTCCCAAAGGCTGTGATTCTGCCCATCAGCAGGAACAGGGGGCTTCTAAAGAGGTGACTCAAAGGCTACATTCCATGTGTTCTCTGTTGGAGTTGTGATCCACTGGTTAATATGGGAGATAGTCATTTCTGAGATATTCTGTACCGTCCCTAAAGTCTGGATTGCTTCATTCCTATGGTGGGTGTTTACAGGGAACAGATAACTCTGCCTAAAATGTGGAAGAAAGGTAATCCTGTTACCTTAGGGAGGTAGAGGGAGAGATGAAGGAGGAGCAGGGAGAAAAACAAACAGGTTCATTTTAAAAATCAGTTGCAGTGGCGGAGCAGCAAGGGCTACATTCAAAGCATAAAGTGGGCCACGGGTACAAAAACAGAAAAGCATAATTCATTGACAAGTCCAGCTTGCTCCTTCAGGCATCAGAAATTCACAAAAGTAATGTGGACTAACAACTTTCAGACTGCCACTGAGCGTGGAATCAGGGATTAGACAAGTGTAAGTGAAAATGCACTGTGCTCTCTCACCAGGTTTTACTCAGCTTCTCTATTAAAAATAAAGACTGTCAGATTGTTTTCTTTAAACGACTGCATTGTATGCCATGTACAAGATACTTGCTACTAATAAAGTTAAGTAAAAAATAATGGATAAAAGATACAGTATGGAAAATTTTGAAAAAGTTGGAATGACTTATTAATGTCAAAGAAGACTGAAAAATGAATAAAATTAAACGAGTAAAGAGGTATATTGCTTAATGATGAAAAGGCTTTTCACTGAGAAGACATGACAAACTCAATGTGTATGCCATTAACAATGGAATAAGACATGAAGAAAGTCTAACCAAACTAAAAAGGGAAATAGACAAATCTACAATTATTCTTGGAAACTTCAATATGCCCCTCTTAGTAATGGATACAATAGAAAGAAGATCACCAAAGTTACAGAAGTTAGTAGTGCATCAAACATTTGTGGAATCCTTCACTTGACAACAATAATAAAATTGTTCAGGTGTACATGCTGCACTTACCAAGATAGACCATATTCTAGGCAATTAGTCTGAATTTAATGAATGTAATACAATTGAAATATATGAAGCATGCTCTTAGATCATAACATAATTAAACTTAAAATCAATGATAAAAAGAACAGGAAAATCATCACTAAGCATGTGGAAATTCAATGACACATATGTGTCAAAGGGCATTTTCAATTAAAATAAGAAAATGTCATGCATTGAATAAAAATAAAAGTACAATATATAAAGTATGTATAATGCAGCAAGAATAGCATTTAGAGGGCTGGGGTTGTGGCTCAGTGGTAGAATGCATGTCTAACACATCTGAGGCCCTGGGTTCAATCCTCAGCACCACATAAAAATAAATAAAATATTGTGTCCAACTACAACTAAAAAAAAATTCTTAAAAATCTTTTTAAAAAAGATTAGTACTGGCTTCCAGTAGCAGAGGGAGGCCGAGGAGCTGTGCGTGTTGGGCTCGGCTGACCATTGGCCCCTCAGCCAATGCTCAAGCACAGCTCCCTCGCCGCCCCTCACCTCCTCTCCTCCCGGGCTCCGGTTCCAACACCTTCGAGCTGGGGAGGGGGCAGGATCCCTCCAGCTTGACGCCCTGGGACCTCCCGCTAGCCTAGAGCTGGCCCTCCCTAGGGGCGTGAGGAGGGGCGGGGCTGCGGACTTAAGACTCAGGCCCTGTCGTTCTGGAGCAAGCCCGCTAGTCATACAGTAAGGGAGTCATGTCGGCGCAGCCGGGGCTCTGGCCCGAGGTCCAGGACACCTGCACCTCTCTGGGGCTTATGTTGTCGATTGTGCTGTTCGTGGGTCTGGGCCGCATGAGTGCTCGGCAGCAACTGCACAGGCCCCTGGCCCACGCCTTCGCTTTGGAGTTTCTGGCCACCTTCCAGCTCTGCTGCTGCACCCATGAGCTACAACTGCTTAGTGCGCAGGACTCCGCGCACCCCACCTGGACGCTGACGCTAATCTACTTCTTTTCGTTGGTGCATGGCCTGACTCTGGTGGGCACTTCCGGCAATCCGTGCGGCGTGATGATGCAGATGATGCTGGGGGGAATGTCCCCCGAGATGGGTGCAGTGAGGCTGTCGTCTCAGCTAGTTAGCGCTCTGTGCAGCAGGTACTGTGTAAGCGCCCTGTGGAACCTGGGTCTGACCAAGTATCACTTCAGCGAGAGGAACTTGGCTTGCAAGAATCCCATCAATTCCGATTTACCCCAAGCGATCATCACAGAGGCCATCTGCTCCTTTATCTTCCACAGCGCTCTGCTGCAGTTCCAGGAGGTCCGAACCAAGCTTCGTATCCACCTGCTGGCTGCACTCATCACCTTTTTGGCCTACGCAGGAAGTATAACAGGAGCTGTATTTAATCCAGCATTGGCACTTTCACTTCATTTCATGTGTTTTGATGAAGCTTTCCTTCAATTTTTTATAGTGTATTGGCTGGCTCCTTCTGTAGGTATATTGTTGATGATTTTAATGTTCAGTTTTTTCCTTCCATGGCTGCATAACAACAATACAAAAAAGGAATAACTATCCCAAAAGACTCAGACTAAGTTAAAAGACAGTCAAGCTGGATGTGCTAAACACTGGCTACACTGGATTCATCAATGTTTTAACTTCCTTTGAGGAAGCTGTCTTAAGTTTTCATCACTGGGACTTAAAAAAAATTACTGTGAAAACGAGGTATCCTGTATTTCTCAGTTAAGACTTGTTCTTTTGAGTGATGTATTAAATGCTGCTAGAAAAGACTCATTCATTAAATCTCAAAAAAAAAGATTAGTACTTAGAAGGAAAGCTGTAGCATTAAATCCTTATACTATAAAAAAAAGGAAAACCTGAAAATAGTAACCTAAGCCCCCCATTAAATAACAGGGAATAAATAAACTCAAAGCAAATGCTATGGATAACAACAATGATAAGAACAAAAATTAATAAAATATAAAACAGGAAAATAATCAATTCAACAAGAGCAGACTCCCTGAAAAAATTAATAAAATTATCAAACCTCTAGCAAGAATTAAAAAGAAAACACAAATTATCAGCATCCCGAATGAAAAAGGGCACATTAATGTAGATCCAACTGATATTGGAAGAATAATAATGGAATACTATGCACAGATATGCACACATGAAGTTGACAACTTAAATGGAATTTGCCAATTCCTCAAAAACCACAAACTATATAAACTCCCCAAAGGCCAAATATGTAAAGAGAAGAGTCTATTTTTAAAAATTGAATACATGATTAAGAATCTGAAAACAAAAGTCTCAGCCAAATTCACTCCAATATAAAGAATAAATATATATCAATTCTGCACAGTAGTTTTCAGATAACAGAGGAGGGAATGCCTTTCCAACTAATTTTATAAAGCCACATTACCCTGGCACCAAAGTGAAAGATATTATAAGAATAGAAACAAACAACAACAGCAAAAGAATAGAAACCTTCAGAAAAATATGATTCATAAAAATATGTGAAAGTTTTCTGAATGACCTTTTAGAAAATTGAATCCCAACATTAACAGGATAACAAAACTTTAAAAAGATTTTGGTTCCAGACAGATAACAATGTGATAATTTCATTTCTCTATATTTCTTGTGCTAAGAATAGCTAAAGAACATAGACCTAAAAGAACTTCTATAATGATGGAGTAAGAATCTCCATAAATCTGCTTTTTTACCAAAACAGTGAAAATATTCCAAATTATGAAAAACAACTTTTTCCAAACTCTTGAAATTAACAAGAAGCTAGAAACAATTGGAAGAATATTTATTCAAGGTTCCTCAATAAGATCAATGGTAATTGGGCTGAGGATATAGCTCAGTTGGTAGAGTGCTTGCCTCGAATGCACAAGGCCCTGGGTTCAATCCCCAGCACCACAAACACATACACACACTTACACAAAAAAAAAAAGGAAAAAAAAAAGGTCAGCAGTGATTGAGGCATTTATCTTGGCATCCTTCATTGTGAAAGGAAAGATTTGCAAAAAATCGGTCTGTTGGATAACATCACCAGAGTTCTTCTTTGGACATGCTATGTATTTGATGTTTATTATATATCCAACTGCCTACCTGATATTTCTACTTGGATGCCTAAGTCTTAAGTTCAGGAGAATATCAGAGCTATAAATGTATAATAGGGAGTTACCCAGATATAATTTATAGCCACTGTGTTAGGTTAAGCTTTCCTTATTCAAGACCTGTCTAATTGCTTCAGATTCTTCATTCACAGTGCTGTGTGACAGAAGTAGAATTTAAACCTGGACTGCAATTCTCCTGAGTAACCTACATCCTACTCCATGGAATTTCCAGCAATGGAACTCTAGCTGAAGAAGCAGCCTTTAGTGAAAAAATGTAAAAGCATAATGTTTTTTTTCCAAATATTTATTTTTTGGTTAGACATAATACCTTTGTTTATTTATTTTATGTGGTGTTGAGGATTGAACCCAGGGCCTCATGCATGCTAGGAGAGCGCTGTACAGCTGAGCCAAAACCCAAGCCCAAACATAATGTTTATACATGGTGATGGGCTGGAGATTAAGTAACTGGAATATAAGACAGGTAAATATACTAATTACACCAGTCTATCTGAGCCAAAAACCCAGCAAAGTGGTCTCTCAAGCACAGCAGACAGTGTTCTATGTCAAATTGGTGGAGAAACAGAGCAGTACTACTTTTATTCTTGACTGTGATCCTTAAACATTTTCTATGCTCTATGATACATATTGGCACCAGTCTCTCTAGTCACACTTGCCAAGAATCCAGAGCCTGTTGAAGATCTCAAATGTGTGGCAAGCAGAGCAGTGAAGACAATGTTTATACTGCGCCTAGATGAGAAGATTCCAATGTCTGCAGGTGATCGGATTTCTGTTGCTTTTTGACATAACATTCATGAGTTCCTCCAATCTGTGTATACTCTGGGCTGCATGAGAAAAATACTGAGCATTGTGCAATTTTACCAATAGATAATTATAGTCAAAAGAGCACTAATGTGGTAGAACTAATTAATACATTTGGAAATTTTCTGCCTTTTGAATCTGGGTAGAAAGCAAAAATTCTCTCTTATCATGGTAGCTCTAAATAGGAGACATTCACTTACCTATCTCCCCTTCCAGGGTGTAGGCACATGATTCAGACTGGGTTTAGGTCAGGTGCACTCATCATAGATCCTGCATCAGAAAACAGTGACACAAGGAAGGGAGGACATTTTGTTTCAGGAGGCAGTATCACAGATGGTGGTAACATTCAATTTCAAGAATATCTATAGATGAGGCCAGAGGTATTGGCAGTGAAATCTGTACCTTTTGTGTTTACCAGTGAAGATGGCAACAGTATACTCAATTAGTTCTGTGGAATGATTTTTGGCTTCAATCTTCCTGTGAATTTATTTTGTCTAGGCCCTTTTCTCAAGTCTGTTTTCCTAGACTTTCTTGATATTCTGTAAAAGTACTCAGTATGTTTTTATAATTTTTTTTTCATCCAAAATAGCCAGACGTGGCTTCTGTTGCTTTTGATCAAGAAGCCTGACTGTTGCAATGCTGACACATAGAATGGAGAGTTACAAAAGAGAAACCCCATACAATCCAGAGTGATCCGTTATTATACTGAAAGGCCACATATCCCATTTCCAGTTATGATGGGCTAAGTTATTTCAACAAAATATATTATAGATGAATGAAATCTGTTTTCAAATTTGTACACCAATGAGCTGATAAGATAGGAAAAATTAACAGTCAAAATTGAAGGGACACTAAGAATCTTGAGAGGTAAGTGTATATGAAAACTGTTTTGAAAGTTCATTGCAGATAAAATAAATCAAAATCCAGAGACTACTTAAGGAAGAAAGTTGACAGAAGAGCAATCTGGGATTCCAAAGGGCTACAACATCTAGGAGAAGATGAAGTGGAAATGGACCAGCCCTCATTTGAGACTGCACCCAAGATTTGAGTAAATCATTTATCTGGGGACAAACCACTTTGGTTAAGGTGGTTCTGAACTGGTAGGAAAATATGCATCTAACAAAGGCATAGGTGAATCCTTTTTTGAAAACGTTGGTTTTATTCTAGGACTCAAATTCCAACAAATTATTTTTTAACACAATGACTGACTCATAGGCCTAGATAACCAAGAACTAAGAAGCAAGATCCACAATCAAGAATTAGCCAAAGAACAGACAATAGAAACAGGTACACAAAGAGTTCCTTAAAGGTTGGAGTTATAAAAATTCAAACACAAAATACACACTTAATTTGTTTGAAAAGAAAATTTTAGCTTTGAAAATTTCTGCCCAGAACAGAAAACCATAACAAGTAGAAGTAATAGATTTGAGGAACAACAAAGTGGAGCTTAAAGAAGTTAAAAGCATAAGAACTGAAATTTGAAAAATTCACAGGAGACTAGATACAAGTGAAAATGGAATTAGTGAGTTGGAAAGTAAGTAAAATACTATCTGGAATGCAGGGTAAAGAAATGAAAGATGGAAAGTATATAGAAGATAGTAAAAGAATCTAGTAAATAAGATAAAAATATGTTTAATCAAAGTCTAGTAAGGAAAGAAAAGGCAAAGAAATGGTTAGACACCATATTTAAACAGGTTATTACTGAAAATATTACAGAACTGATGAAAAACACCAATCTATATAATTTAGGAAAAATAATTTTTATACCAGAAGCCCAATTAAAAGTTTTAATCATTTTAATAGCTATGGTACATTAGCAGCATCTTCTTAAAATATATGTAAGGAATGTATACAACATGTTTGAACCAATCTATCAATAACTTCACCATACTAGAGAAAGAGACAAACACACAATGTCAAATTATAAATAACTAACTAGGGGACAGAGAAGGCAGAACCTTGTAAAAGGAAAAAAAAAACTGTCAGAGAGATAAGAAGCAAGAGAGTAGTAAAATGAAAGAGGCTGGGGTAAGTCCAAAAGGTAGGGCATGATCACCAAGTCAATTGCTGCTAACTAATCCATCCAGATAAGGAGAGAAAACTATCCACTGGATTGAGATATTGTAGGAAATCATACAGAGTAAGTGTCCAAACATAATGGAATGAAATCAGAAATGCATAGCAGATTTAAACCTTGGGACATGTACAAAAAAAATACATGTAAATTCAACAAAATACTCCTAAAAATAATCAAAAAGGAAATCATGATTCAAGGCTAGCCTCAGAAACTTAGTGATGCTCTAAGCAATTCAGTGAGACTCTGTCTCTAAATAAAATATAAAAGGGGCTGGGGATGTGGCTCAGTGGTTAAGCACTTCTGGGTTCAATCCCTGGTACCAAAAAAAGAAAGCAAGCATGAGGATAATTTAAAAACCTTTGAGATGAATAAACAAAAATTGAAACAGCATGTCAAAATTAATGGGATGCATCTAAAACACAGTTTAGAGGGAAATTTTTCACTCTGAACATTTATATTTAAAAAGAGAAAAGATCTTAAATAAATAACATACTGTTTCACTTTAAGAAATTAGACAAAGAAGAACCAACTAAACCCAAAGCAACAGAAGAAAGGAAATAATATTGAGTGGAAATAAATGAAAGAGTGATAAAAAGCATTAGAGCAAAATCAATGAAACCAAAAGTTAGTTCTTTGATAAAAATCAAGAAACTTGACCACCTTTAGCTAGCAAAATTATTATCAATAGAACCCCATGAAGCAGGGTAGCACCAATCTGCAGTATTGATCTTGGTTATACCCTATAGGGGTCCTGGATTTAGCCAATTTAAAA